ACCATGGTTACAGCATGCACGTAAAGATCGTACGCAGCAAATACCCTACGCAGCACTATTTACACAATTTTTTTTATTACTTTTTCGCCAGTGACGTCACGGTAAAATCGTATATAGTGGCCTATAACTTCATAAACAATTGCCAAAAAACGATTTTAATGTTGATTCTATTATTAATGGCATATCAAAAATCTCCTCTAGAACAAAAAATCATTTTGCTAGTTCTCTTTTAAGTAGCTTTGTTTTTAACATAAACATTTTGTTCTTTTAAAATATTCATGCTCATTAGCATTATTCCATGATGGTAACTACGTAGAGTGAAATGCTAGGCCTCTGGAAGTCCCCCAGTGTTGGTTGCCAGGTTATCGGAAATTATCATTTCAAATTTGCCGAAAATGGTTGCCAAATAAAAGTAATAGTAATATGGCTACATTCTTATGCTAAATACTCAGTTTAACAATCAGCGGCAGTACGCTGGTTTTGGGATGGCAATCCTCAAATGATATTGATACCATATGATATCAATTTTTATATAAATATATCATATATAATTAATATCTAGAAATCCTTCATGAAATTAACTTGAGATGGAGCAACTTTGTTTATGAAATATGTTTTTTTTTTTATAATGAACAGCAATATGGCTAAAAGTATTAATGAGATATCAAATCACATATTCTGAAATAATACATTTTCTATTATATATTTACAATTATTGAGTATCATAAGCATTTAACTTTGCTATCTTCTGGTTTCTCACAATAGAGATTTGAAGACTTAAATGAACAAGATTATTTTAAATTCAAAGACAAAAAATTTACTATACCTAACATTTTGAAAAAAGCAGCAAGTGGCTTCCATTGCAACAGATACCGAAGTGTCATGGCATCCTTATGGGCAAGTGATTTCTCAAGGAGATGGGAGAATATTTTGCCATATCTCTCGGCCTTATAAGGTAGCTGTTGTATATGAGAAGCCCTGTGAAGAAAGTCCTCTCCAGTGCTACCCTAAAATATGAGGGAAATTAGATTCTAACACTGAAATAAATAGACACATACTAGCACAGAACATAGCCTATTGTAGCTGTTTATCATTAAAATTTGTCTTTATTAAAAAAAAAAAATCGCTATTCTGAATGCACAAATATCCAAGCTCATAAAAACCTTCAATGCAATTCTTGGAAAAGAGGGTGATTATACCTTTCCCCCCCAGTTTTTGAATGTTCAAAAATATGTACAGTAAAACGTCCATTTTACGTACCCCTTGCTACCAAGGGGTGTTCGTAAATTGAAAAATTTTTAAACTAGATCGGGTGTCAGTTTCCAATACCTAAGCCTAGCTATCCCCTGCCGTTGAGCGCCGATAGGCTGACGGTGGCCAGGCCTAGCATGAACCGACAGTGCATCAGCATGGTCTACCGCACTGGAGCCTACCTAAATTTACCTTCCATAAAAACCAAATTATTTTAATCGCTGGCATTCTTCCACTTAACAAGATATTATTTTAACTCTTATTTAAACATCTGTATGTTTTATGGACCTTTCGCCGAATGCTATTGTTTACATGCATTTGGCAATCATCTAGCATTCACAATGTCAATAAGTTGCTGACCCCAATACTCTTGTTCGTCATCGTAAACATGTGCGCTCAATCCGACGACACTTTCGTTGGTAATTCGTTGTTCTGATTAGGTTTATTACATTAATATAGTGATCATTATACCAGAAATGGAAGAAAAGATCGAACTGTTAATAAATAAATACAAAAAACTTGATTTTATTAAGAAAAATACATTATATCACTTTGTAAAATGTGAGTAATCAGACTTTTTTATGGTATTAATTGGTTAATGATGACATCATCAGAGGCAAAGACCATTTGTAAAATCAACTATTCATAAAATCAATGTTCGTAAAATAGACGTTTTACTGTATCTCATTAACCGCTTTTGAATTTTAGTGTCAAATATGCTTTTTGCGTCTTAAAAAAAATCAGTTGTACATCAAAAAACTGTTTTCCTCAAGAGCCTTGCTTGAAGAACTGACCTCCATGACACCAAATGCAGCTTCAGAAAAAACTGTCTCAATCATTGGATGGCATCTACTGAAGTCAGTATCACAATAAAATTTCACCAAATTTTCATCTTCATAGACTCTCTGAATTTTCTGCAATAAGAGAAAGTAATTTTGTTAAAAATAGTTGTGTTTAATATTTTTCAATGTATTGAAAAAAAATTGAAGCAGAACAAATCATTGTTTATATTAAATCTTCTGATGCAAAACACCAAAGAATAGTACGCTGCTACTTGGGGATCAATTCAACACCAGTCACAGAGCACAAGCAGGAGGGTCTAGGGCAGTGGCAGAACCAGTGGTGGGGGAGAGGCAGCAGGGGCTTAATTCCCCCCACCGGACAGGTCAAGGCCCCCCCCCCATTGGCAGTTGGACTAACAAATATATAAAAATAGGCCCACGCCACTGAGCCAACACATGTCTTACAATCAGAGAGTGTCCTTTCTGGTCATCCAGCGGTTCCTATTCTTAAAAAAAATCTCATTTGAGAGGGGGAACAGCCTCTCAAACCCTTACCCCAGCTCAGGCCTACGAGCCCAAGTCCCCCTAACTAACTAATCTAGAGGTTGTGGATTTGATTCCCTACTGAATCATTCGCAGAAAGTATTTAGGAATGTACTCAGCATTCTATACAAAAACATGTCAGGTAAGCAAAAAAAACATTCCTATATTTCTCCAGATGCAAAACACCTAGGTACCAACTGTCTCGCATTGTGCAGGATGGTCCCGCATTTGAAAGTGATTTTGAATGAAACACGCATTTTGCAAAAACACATGCGAGATCATAAATGTGTCACGCATTTGCACTTGCGTGATAACGAATTATCACAAATTCAGGGGAAAACGTATTTAAAATTAGAAGAAATTGGTTTTATTAAAAATTATCGGTACTTAGAGGTGTGACTGATAACGATAGTAGTAGTGATGAGAGTCAGTGTGGATTCATCTTCTGATGACGAAAATGGTGAGGAACATAATTGTGTTAATCATTCTGAATTATTCTAGTAAGCTTACAAAGTTCTCATAGTTAAGTTTGGGTCTCTTAGCTAACAAAGACACATTTCTTTTCATGGTATAAATAGTACTATTCATTTCTGAAAATTGTCACATTTGCATTTTATAAACCAAAGTGTGACCATAATATTGACTGATATTGGAAATCAGTATGGCTGTCACCCTAGCTTTTTAAAATAATTATGTTATTTATTGGACTCGGATAGCCAATAACATATGATTACACACCAAATTTACCATTTCTAATTGAGGAGAGGTGGAATTATAAACGATTTTTGTGCTGGCCATCTTGAATTTCAAAATGGCTGCCATTCTAGCTTTTTAAAACCATGTTTATTGGACTCAGAGAGCCCATAATAACATATAATTAGAAACCAATTTTACCATACTATTTGATTGAGGAGAAGTAGAATTATAAAAGCAAAATATTTGATTTTCAATGATTTTCATGGCTGCCATCTTGAATTTTAAAATGGCTGCCATTCTAGCTTTTTGAAACCATGTTTACTGAACTCATAGAGCCCAATAACATAATGATTAGATGCCGAATTTGCCATCATTAATTGAGGAGAAGTGGAATTACATACCAATATTTTTGATTTTTTGTGGCGGCCATTTCGAATTTCAAAATGCCTGCCATCCTAGCTTTTTAAAACTATTGGACTAAGAGTGACCAATAACATATAATTAGACCCAAATTTTCCATTTTTTGTAGATGGGAAGTGGAATTATAATGATATATACAATTTTTGTTCATTTTTACTGTGGCCATCTTGAATTTTCAATTGGGGTGACTGAATCATTGGATTCAGTGACTCCAGTATCATATACTTAAACACCATATTTATGCTTTTTGTTGAATATAAGTAAAGTTATGAACCAATATCTGAATTTTGGCTTCCAATTTTTTATTTCTACCCTAGTGACACTAAATCAACAGTTACCTTGGTCCCCAAAAAATGGTCACGGGGCCCTGAATTTCACTATACTAAAGTAACAGAAAATTGTCATAGTAGTATCAAAAATACAACAAAGAATTATTTAATAATATACACCCATTGAATATTCTCTTGCAAGGATGAGTACAAGCTGGCAATCCATATTTGAGTGAGGTCTTCATGTGAGGAAACAATCTTGAACAAGTCATTTAAAAATTCCAGCTATAAAAAAAAATGTAAGATTTATACATGACATCAATAAATAGATGGCATATTATTCAGCAATGTTATATAACCACTTACATGTTGAAACAAACTTAAACAAAACATAGTTTTAAAAACAAAATATACTAAAAACATTTCAAAAACCCCCAGTTTCTTCAGTTTAGTTATTTAATAAAATGGTATTTTAACTGTTCTGATTGCATGAATTTCTACTGTAGTACTCTTTTAAAGTGTTTTATAATAATGCTCTTCTTATGTTAAATGAAGTTGAGTAAATTCTGTAGTGCATCTGATATGTTTGTTGTATTCCTATTTTGGCGAATTTATGCACAAATCTATTTATAGTTTTATGTTGCGTACTAATGTGTCTAATAATCTAATTGTGAAAAATGTGTATGATAAATTGCTTTTTAATTCTAAATTGTACGTCAGCTGGTCTGACATTTTATAGTATATTTCTCTTTTGAATATTGTAATTTTATTGTTTATGCATTGAATCTGCAAAATAAAAGCAAACAGCCATTCAATGTATTATTATATTAATCTAATTATTTGTGCAAAATATTAAATTATTTTTCAGAATATAAACTAAATGCCGAGTATTGAATTTGGGTCTGTATAAATGCTCAGCTCCTTGAATAACCCTTTCAAGAGTTAGGCAAGTGAAGGACCATGTCTCGTATCCATTGTATATTGCAGTTTAAGTCAGGTGTTGTTGCACTGCCACAGATACCCAGGGACCCAGCCCAAATTTTGAGTTTCTATTTTGAGGACCAATAAAGATTTATTATTAAATACTTTGTTAAGAAGTATCAATCGAACATACCTTAAAAAAATAGTTTACAAAGTTTTAAAATAGAATTTCTTGGCAGCCAATGGCTGAATTTAGGAATTTTTTTACATTCCATAGTCAAAATACATAAATATTTTATGTTTTTAATGAAATGTTATTTAAAAAACTATTTACATTAAAATGATAGAAAGAATGAATAGAAAGCACAAAGACAATTAAGAAAATTCCAGCCCAACCATCACTATATTGTATATAGGATAAAATAAACCCTAATATTATCCTATTAACACTGCCCACAAAACACGGAGATCTCTGTGTTTGATAACGTAACGCTTGGCCACCAAAAAAGGATATCTCTGTGTTTCAGGTTTTTTGACGGAATCCGATAGGGGTAATTACCGACATGTACTAACAATTTGAACACTTATTCAGTTTGGACCCTAAGTATTTCACTATTTGTTTGTTTATATTGAGCGTAGCGGCATATGTACAAAATCGCGATTATCTCAGCTTCGTTGTGCGAAATTGCTTAAATCTCCAAAAGTGAGTCGTTTTCATTTTACTGTTACGGGTCATAGATTGTGATTAGAATAAAGTGTTTTGTACCATTGCAAAGCTAAGATGTTTGTAATTCTTGTCGTATTCATTACATGTCAATCTGATCACATATGCACTCTTAACGAGCTGTGGAAAGTGTTAAAATTAACTAATATCTCTGGTGGTGGCTGATACTATTTTTTAAAACCCTTGGCGGTCAGAGTGTAATAAACAACCAGGTAAAATGATTACCAATTGCTCATATGACTTTTGATCAGACAACCTCTTCAAAAGATTTTTTACAAGCTGTCCAGCATCTACCAGGTTATCTTGTATTTGCTTCTTCCAATCTGCATCTGTATTGTTTTCACAGTGAGCGAGGCATCTATCTAAACTTGCCATAAATAAGTTAAGCAGCAAAGTGATTGTTGATAGACCCAAATCATTGAGGTGTGGCATCCTTAGAAATAGTTTGATTGAATCAAGAATAACAGACATAGCTTTCATATCTTGTTCAGCAAACTGGTTGTCCAAGCTGAAAAATTCCAACAAATACATCACAAAATAAAACTTTTTAATATTAACTTGCAAACAGGAGAAAAATAAACTATGGAGTTTTAAAATAAAAACAATTTGGATCACCCAGATATTTCATTAGAAGGTGGCAGACGGCGAATTCCACCGCCTACATTTTTCCTGACTCATTTTTATTTTGTACCATACTTACTACAGTAGCTTGGCTTTATTACCAGAACAAACTGTAAATACCAGCAGTAGAGGCATATGACACGAGGTAAAAAATACTTCGCAAAGTGAACGGATTCTACAGTGTCGTTGGTGGCGCTATAATAATATTGTGGGGATAATTAATATAATACATTAGAGAATTATGTTGTAAATCTGTAGATTTCGATTTTACTCAACAGTTCGATGAATAATAAAGAAGTGATAAAATAATTGAAACACTAGTTTCTAGTTTTTTTTTTTTCATTAATTAATGCTGCTTGTGGCCAAACTGAAGTTGTGGTTTTGTGGGCTGATATGATGTCTTGTGTGAGTTAGTATGATGTAACAATGTATTTAAGAAACAAACAATAAACTAGAAACAAGAGGGCAGATACCATAGTATAACAATATGACATCCAGTGTAGTAATCTTTATTCTTTAAATACACTCTAATCTCTCTTCCGCCTCTCTCTCTTTCTTCCAAACGAGGTTCTCCTCTGTTGCTCTTCCCAAAGCAACCTCAAGTCAACCTTGATGATATTTAAAGGTTACATTACTCCCCTTCCCAAAAAGAAGTATCCCACTACTTCAATTATGTAGTCCATGGGCTAGGAGGGGGTAACTTTCTTGTTATTAAGATGCCCACTAAGACCTCTAGGGACATAACCTTTTACAAAATTTTGTTACCCATGGGAGGGAATCCCAATTTTTCATACACACCCCCACCCCCTCGGAGCGTTGCACCTCGCCCTCCTACTTTGGAAAATTTCTTCCTACTCAAAATCCCTGTGAAAGGCCTGAAGACCCATAAATTTGTTTTTTTAAAAATATACGAAACTAGATTTTCATATATAACATATTAGTATAATACTACTGAGGAACAATCCCATACTCATTTTCAGAGTGCACATTTCAACCAAGTATTAAAATCAATTTTTAAAAATCAAAACAAAAAAATTACCTTTCACTGTTGTCCTTATTTTCACTTTGTATATTCTGACATACAGCCTTAAGAATTGTCCAAAGTTCCTGATATCAGAATTAGAATTTATTTATCCTCACAAAAAGCTACATAGGTCAAAAACAAGTTACAACAAACAAAAATAACATTAATTATTTGATTGATTGATTTATTGAATAATTAATGTTAAGTATAACATTATTTACAGTACCGTATATACCCGCGTATAAGACGTGGCTTAAAATAGCAAGTTACGATTGAAAAACTGGTGGTTGTCTTAATACGCGCAACATATAAATTTTAGATTTTAAAATCATGTTCGCCTTTTGTGCAGATTGTCCCTAACATACAAATTTACTACTGCAATGAAGCTCCAAAAATGTTAGTAGGCCTTCCTATGAATGAATGCAATTTTTTAATATGGGAAATATACTTTTGATTAGCATTTAAAATCTCATAAAATGGTATTAAAATAAATGAATTCCGACCGACCAACATACCAAAATCATCTAAAAATCTTCTGAAACTCTGGTGTCATCTTATCAACGGGTTGCCTTATATGCGAGTATACGGTACTAAAAGTTAAACATTAAGGATAGAGTAGAGAATGCATGAATTTAACAATCATGGTGTTTTCCACATTGTGTATATTAAAAGGTAAAGGTAGTACCATATTCATTAAACATAGGGGAATGAGCTGTTAGCCCATTGTACTAAGCCTTGGTAAGGTGGCGAAGTCCTTTCCTCACTGACTTTTTACCTTCCACATACAACCAGGTACCCCTTTATACTACTGGGTGGATATGAGGCGCCATCTGTTAACTTATTATTTAGCAAAAATAACATGGCTTTTTACGTTATATATT